AAAAAAACAACATTGAGATTCCACCTCATCCCAGAAAAAAATGGCTTTCATCAAGAAATCAACCAATGACAAATGCTGGCAAGGCTGTGAGGAAAAAGGAACTCTTTTCCACTGTTGGTGGGAGTATAGGCTGGTGCAACCACTGTGAAGATCATTCTGGAGATTCTTCAGTAAACTAGGATTAGAGGTCCCATTGAATACAGCTATTTCCCTTTTGGGTATTTTTCCAGAAGAACTAAAAACATCACACCACAGCTATATATGTGCACCCATGTTTATAGCACTGCAGTTTGTAATAGCTAAATTGTGGAAGCAACCCAAATGTCCATCAGCTGAGGAATGGATGAAAAAGATGTGGTATTTTTAAATAATGGAATATTACTCAGCTATAAAGAAAGATAAACTCGAGGCTTTTGTAGGTAAATGAACACAACTAGAGACCATACTGATAAGTGAAATAAATGAGACCCACATGTGTAAATGCTGTATTGTCTCACTAGTGTAAGAACCTGAAAGAGTAAATAAAATCTAAAGGGTACAATAGATAATTGTGAAAGGGAAAGAAAATGTTCATAAGGAAAGAGCAATTGGGATGAGGGAACACAGAAAAGAAGGAAAGAAGGGAGAAAATATGTATATATGTATACACAAGATAGCTAAGGAAATTGTAGTACTAATTTCTATTGCTTTATGGAAAGGAACAGTTAATGTTTAATTGTTGGATCAATCTTACATGCCTATATTTGTTTAACTGAATAACCAATTTGAATATAACTATATGTAATACAACCATTGTTAATTTCCTATCACCTTGTCTGAAATCTGTATTGCTTTTATTTTTTTGTGTGTTTTGTTTCTGTCTGTGTGTTTGTTAATGTGTTTTCATTCTTTTATGTTTAAAAAAATTTTTAAAAAGGAATATGATATGGGCTTTTATCACTTGAAATAAAAGAATGTCATCCTACCATATTCTGCTGGGTAAATGTCTCTTCTGGTTTCTTCCTTTATCTAAACCTTCAAAGAACTTGCGAGACTTCTTAGATTGTATGGACTCATGCACACACCTCCTATGATAATAAAATTGAAAGAATTTTTAGTATATATATGCTGCCAAAGTGAACACTAAAATTGAAAGAATTTTTATAAGAGCCATTGCAAATCTTTTTGGAAACATCATATTCAAGAAAACACTGAGTATGCCACCAGAGAGCATCAACTCACCAGAGGGCATCAACATTTTAATTTTTTTTTCAGAATTCAAGAATTCAAAGAAGCTATCAATTTCTTTAGCCAAGCTCTTACAATTAACCCACTTTTTCTGGATGCTTATATTGGACGGGGGAATTCTTACATGGAATATGAAGATGAGGAAGCCATCAAGCAAGCACAGAAGGACTTTCTGAAAGCACTGCATCTTAATCCATTATGCACAAAAGCCAGAATTAGTCTGTGCTATAATTTGCAGGTAATATAATGTTTTGAGCATTGGAAGTATTGTTTGGACAGGAGAGAGAATATATTCAGCCCTTTTCTGGTGCGGGGGCTAAATGATATTTCCTTGGTTATGAGCATTTACCTTTCCCTTACTTTTAGTATACAAAGTAGCAGGGGTAGCAGGGGGCTCACATGGTTTCAGGGAGCCTTCTGGAAAAGCCTGGGGACCTGGTATGCTAGTCAGATGAAGATTTTCATAAGTCTCCTTAAAGTCTGCACCCCTCTCTGTCCTTATAGAAACCACTTGTAAAATTTGCCTGATGAATTTCACAATGAAGAACCTGACTAACATTTCAGTAGCTTATACCTTAGTTCCATGGGCTTTATCATGTTGAATTATTTAAAAACAAAAGAATAAACAATGCTTGAAAGTTTTCAAGTGCACTGCAGCCATCCAACAGATCAGAAAAATGATATATAGGGACTTCTGAATTCAACCGTCTTCCAGGGGGCAGTGAATTAGAACTTGCTGGGAAGGCAAGAGGACAAGAATTTGTCCCCTTAGCAAGATGGGACAGTGATACTGTGCTCTGTTGCACAGCCAACTTACTGCGAGACAGGCATAAGCAATAATACAAATAATTATGATAAGTGCAGCAAAGAAAAAAATAGGTTATAGGCCCGGGAAACTGAGCTGTGTTTGAGGAATGAGAACGTTTTACTAAAAATTAACATTTACATCTAGGTGTGAAAGACTAGTAATTAGTCAAAGGTAGAGGCTGGGACTAAAGTGGTGTGTTCCAGACAGAGGGAAGAGTCCACTGGAAAGCTTTGTAAGAAAAAGACAGACGGTCTAAATGGATAGAGTGTTACGGGTAAGGGGAGAGTGTTTTGAAGTGAAGCTAGATTATTAAATGAGATCTGGTGTTTAAAGACCTTGCAGTCTAGCTAACCATGTGAACAGAGCTAATCAGAGAAATGACATCAAACTGGCATTTCATGAAGATATCACTGACTATACAACAACCTGACAAGGAATTAAAAAGCACTTTAGTATTAAGGATTGAATCAGGAAAAGGACTGACTGATAAATGTGAGGTAGGGCCACCCAGCTACTGTCCTAGAGAATGACACTTTACTCAACAAAAACTTACGGATTACTACTTGCCTAACACTGTGGACACAGAAGCAGGTAGACCAGATCTTGTCAGGAATAGATGACAGATAAGATCCTATTGTGAGGCTGTTTGCAGTTTAATATTCTCATACTCTAACCTCAGTCTCCTTTATTTTTTATTAGATGAACTTGTGGTGATAGTGTATTTCCAAATGGTGTACCCAGGGTGAGATTTGCTGGTCAGAATGCAAGGCTTAGTTCCCTGAGTAGTTGCAAGTGTTCCTATAAGCGTGGTTAGACTGAGTCAGCCTCTGAGACTTGGCAGGTTGGGTTTCTGAACCCATGAAAAAGAAAGACCCTGGACCGTGCTGAGCTATTTACTCTTTGCCTTCCCACGGTGAGCTGTTTAGTTGCTGCTGGCCTTCTCTAGGAAATGCTCTGGCTTTCTTTTATCAGTGCTGCTCCTCTCCTGATGACCGTTTTTCTTTTTATCCAGTTGATGCTAAGGTTGGTATAAACAGATGCTTGGTAAGTTTCCATGGATTTTCCGTAGAATATGTACAGTGGCCCTACAGTTCCAGATAATGGTTTGATTTATCAAAATGTTTTATGCTATTATTCATTTATTTATATATCACATATTAATTGTAATTGGAGTTTCTGTGCCAATAAATAAATATACATACATATATATATATATAATCCCTGCTTGTGCCTGATATAAGAAATGACTATGCAATTAAATATATTTTAATTAATTCAAGTGTTATCGGCTGGGGATTTAGCTCAGCGGCACAGCGCCTGCCTGGCAAGCGCAAGATTGTGAGTTTGATTCCTGGTACCGGAAAACAAACAAACAAACAAACAAACAAACAAAAAAAGTGTCATTATAAACATTCAGAGGCCATCAATGGAATGTACTCACAGAGTAGCCTACTTTCCTGTTTAAAATACCTTAGATGTAGCACAATATAAATATGTACTTACCAAAGGTTTTGAGTGTGTTAGAATCATTAACATTTGTCATGTTATTCACTATTTATTACTTCATAAAGTGGAAAATTATCTTAGGCCCTAGGAAAATTGCAGAAAGCTTGGAACCACTTTACCATCACCATGGAAATTGATCCACAGAGCTACCTGGCCTATGAAGGAAGAGCTGTGGTCTGTCTTCAAATGGGTATTAATTTTGCTGCAATGCAAGATATTAATGCAGCTATAAAGGTAAAAATATACTTAGTTTATATTACTGCTGGCATAAATTAACACAATCCATGAATAAGTTCAGTAAGAAGTTTACTGTTACCTTTTTAAAACGGCTTTGAACAAAATAATATTTTCCTTTTTTCGTGAGTGATTCTTAGGCTCAAGAATCTAAATGAATTTAAAATGAAAATACCAAATTCATAACAAACACTGATTCCTCTCAGGAAAAGCAGCTTGTGAATTTCACAGACCATCCCCTTTATTTTGTAGAACAAAGAAATGCAAAATAGAAAAGGAACTTCTAGGTTTGAAGGAACTAAAGAAAGAATAATTTAAATCTCCATATTCTTCCTAAAGTGAAACTCTGAATAAAAGTCTTATGTTTCGAATGCAGTGACAGAAACTTTTCTAGCTTTTGAATTTTCTTTCTCTAAATTTGAGTAGATGTTGTAATGTTTGAAATGAGAAAAAAGAAAAGACCTGAAGAACAATTGCTACTACATAGGAAAAACAAGCATGTCAACTATTCAATTTAATTTCTTTTCTGGCTTAACATAGGTAAACAGATAAACTTTCCTCCTTTGTCTATTGTTTTGGAAAGCAGCTGAGTAAAGCATTAAGATTATTTGTTTTATTGCAACCAAATCAACACACTGTTGACATCAAACCAATTTCATAACAAGTCCTTGCTCACAATATTTGCTCTAATGGGGTTTTGGTTTTACCGGCACTATAAAGTTACTCTTTCCCACAACTAGATTTCACAATGTTCATTTCTGCAGACATGAAATCAGAGATAAATACTATTCCCAGATGCTAAGACTCACACTATTATATTGCAGATCAATACTACAGCGGAGTTCTTAACAAATCGCGGTGTGATTCATGAGTTTATGGGTCAGCGACAGAACGCAATGAAAGACTACCAAGCAGCAATTGCTCTAGACCCCAAGTACTCGCTGGCTTACTTCAATGCCGGAAATATCTACTTTCACCACAGGCAGTTTTCTCAGGTAATGTGAGTTTTCCTTAACATTTTCTTTTTGACATTTTAAATGCCTCTTTGTTAAATGTAGCTTCAAAATGCAATCCTTATACCTCAGCCTAAGAAATCATTAGCTGTTCTTCTTAATAACTTCTCTTTCACAAGAATGTTTGTGATTACCCACTAAGTGCTGATCCCAGTATGGGTTTATTCTCTTTATTATCATTAATCATTAAGCTGTTGTCCAGGAAACATTCTTTCAGGCTTCCCCAAGTGCCACCAGTATCCTTGTTATGTGCATTGTCACCAGCGTCTAGCCTGCTGGCAGCTTTTTCTACCACTTATACTTCCTTGCAGACCCTCTTTATGGTGGGATTTCTATCTCATCTTAATTTCTACCTTTGCTAAATTTCAACTTGACTGGGAGTAGGGAGACTTGGATATCAGCTTTGATTTTTGTGACCCTTTAATTTCTTTCAATCTCAATTATAATGTCTGAAATAAAAATATTAGTTATTAGATGATGCTGTTTTGAATTTATTTTATTTCAATTGTAATGTGTTTACATAATTATCTTTTTATCTGTAGTCACTCTTGTTCTGCTTTCCTTCAATTTTCCCTGTCCTTCATCTATCTTTCTGAGTTGATAGCTTAATTCTTTTTTTTTTTTTTTTTTTACCCTTCTATTTGTATTAGGGTAATTTATTAATGTTATATATGTCTTCTAAGTACTTTTTTGGCAGTAACCCATATATTTTGGTTTGTATTTATTTTTAGCTTGAGTAAAATACATATAGGTGTAATACAAAATTTTCCATCTTAACCATCTTTGAATGACCAGTTCTGTAATGTTCTTGTTAATTAAGGTTTTCCTAAAATTTTGTACCTGAAATTTATATTTTCTCTTTGACTTGAGAATAAATTAATTGCATATTTAATGGGGTAGCATTTTTTATATTTTAATATGTTTTTACTTATATTTTAAAAGTATTTTACTCTGTGGTCTGTTTTCTTTAGTTTTTATTTGAAGTTTTTCTGATAGGAAGATATATATAGTTGTGCTCTTTTATAAAATACCCTTAATTTCTTATCTCTTTAGTTTCTTTACTATAAACAACACAATTACCTTGTAATGTCCTTTTTCTCATTCACATAGGTACATGCATCAAGAATGCTCATCTTTAAAAAAGAAAAGAAAAAAAGTCTCACCCTCGTGGTCCACTCTAACTACCGCCTCTACCTCACTACTATTCTTCACAGAGGGCTTTTCTTAGCCAGTTATCTACAGTAGCTCCCTCTCCACTGCTGATTCAGCACACAGGGTCTTCACAACTCTTTGCTTCAAGCCTGTGCCCCTGCTGCTCTTCCAGTGCTCTTACCAAAGTTGTCAGTGGTCTCCTCCATTCTCACCTCACTCAACTGCTCAGCAGTAATTGAGATGGGCACTTGTCTCTTTGTTAAGCAGTTTATTCTCTAGATAATGCTATTTTATCTTATTTTCTTCTGATCACCTTGGCGAGATCCTCCCTGTCAGTCTGCTCTTCTGACATCCCCTCTCTGCTTCACTTCTAAATGTTTTTAGCAACCAACGGCTAGCTCTTGCTTTGTTTCACTCCAATATTACTTTTGTATATTGATCTCTTAACTTTCCAGTTTTTTTTTTTTTTTTTTATACCAGGAATTGAACTCAGGACCTTGCTCTTGCTAGGCAGGCACTGCACCACTGAGTTATATCCCTAAACTAATTCTCCAGTCTTATTAAGTTTGTAAGCTTTTAGGGGCAAGAATCATACATTGCATTTCTGGATTCAAAAAATCCATTTAAGGTTGGGGATGTGATTAGTGGTAGAGTGCTTGCATAGCATGTGTGTTAAAGCGCTGGGTTCAATCTTCAGCATGAGGGGCAGGAGAAAAAGAAAGATCCACTTATTCCTATAATTTGTACTACTTGTCAGCCTCTTTCTTCTGAGTTCCTAATGCATGTTTATTTCAAGTTGCTAAAATTAGGTATTTTACAAGCACATTAAGGTCAAATTGACCTGCTTACCCTCTACATGTAGTCTAGTTTTCATGTATAAATTCTCTCTTAACTCAAGATGTCATCTTCCAGAAGGCTATGTGAGCCAAATCATCAGAGTCAATCATAACTTTTTCTTTCTTTCCTTCCCTTTCTATTCAGTCATTTTATACTGTCAGTTTAGTCTTAATTTTTTTCAAATATGTCCCCGCTTTTCTATTTCTTCTACCATTGTCTTAGAGTTACCCCTCATTTTTTTTGCATTTTAGATGTAGACCATTAACAGCTTGCTGACCCCTGTCATAAGCCTGGCTGACCACCATAGTGAATTAGATGCTGGGCCAGAGTTATTGAAGGTGCAATTCCATAAGGCACAAATGACATTGTTGTTGCTCAAATCTCACTGGACAGCTAAGAGGTAAACATGGCAAGAGCAACTGCCTTAAATTTCATTAATCTCAGATCACTCTCTGGCTGGATCCTGTCCATGGATTTTTTTTTGCACTATAAACTTAGTTAATGAAATTTAGACAAATAAAATGCTCAGGACAATTTTCTGTTTTCATAGATGTGTAAGATCTGCATAAAAGGAGCACCTTTACCTTTTAGATGCATTTATCTTTATCTTCATTTTTTTGTTTTTCTTTGTTTTTTTTTGAAACAAGGTCTCGCTGTGCAGTTCAGGCTGGCTGTGAGCTCACTTTGTAGCCCAGGCTGGTCTCAAACTCAGCCTCCTGAGTGCTGGGATTACAGGTGTGCACCACTATGCCCAGCAGTATCTTTAATAACTGTATGAACACCATTTAAAAATTATTTATTTAGATGTAAAATATAGTTTCAACTTTTTAATATTTTATTGTAGGGCTCTATTTTCTTTTTTTTTTTTTTGATACTGGGAATCGAACTCAGGACCTTGCACTTGCCAGGCAGGCACTTGGGCTGCTGAACTATATCCTCAGCCTAAGGGCTCTATTTTTAATATTTTGTGATAGGGCTCTATTCCCACCACACTGCTGACACATTAACTGGGGAAGTATTTCACCTAAAATGTGTCCCATTTTCTGTCTGACATACCGGATGCATGGACTTCACATGCACAGTCCCATGGGAGACAGGTAGACCTTGAGAATAGCTATTCAGCTGTACTGCTGTGCTCTGGGCTTCTCTTTGTGGAGAAAATTGCTTCCATGCCTGGCCCATCTCTTTCTCTTGCTGTTACTTCTGACTATACAGAAAGGAATCCTTATGCTCAGGAAGAAGGGTTCCTCAATATGTCAAGTGATCTTTAGACAGTTAAAACATGTGTGTGATCTGACTTCCTTTTTCTTTAGTAATTTAATTATTTAGAACCATATTTGGATAGGCTACTTGCATAAATGGTGAATTACAAATATAAGTGGATCTGTTCTTTAATTAATTAATGTATTATGGTTATGAGGGCATCAGGCAAATTGGTAAAATAGTCCAGCCCCTTAATTGTTTTGACCTGTATTTGGTTGATGCTCTTATACTTTACGTAACCTCATTAAACTCATAGGGTTTTCAATTTTGTAATGTACTTTAAAAGACATAATATAAATTTACATTGTTCCAAGTTAGGTGCACTACTGGTGTTTTATTGGGTTCTTTGCTCATAGCCAAGGTAGGCATTTGCTCCTACATAATGGAAGTCACGCTTTTGTAATATAGAACTGTGGAGCATTTGTTGGTCATTTAATGGTGATTTAAAATGAAGGCTAAGTTGCTTTATGAAGAAAGAAATGCTTGGAGTCATTCCTTTACTTCCTTTCTGATTGCTATGTGTGCTGCCTTTTCTTTAGGAATAAATTCTCTTTAAACTATTCACAAATGAATGTCAATCTGTCCCTATCCCAGTACTTCAGTGTAGTATAGAATTGCTGTTATCCATGAAAGAGAGAGATTAAATGATTTTGTTCTGATGGACTCTGAAAAGTCAGAGGAAGTAACTTTTATGGAGTTTGTTTGAAGACTATATTACCTTTTCACTTGGAAGAAACACAATACATTGATATTAATTGATTGAGTCATTTCTATATTCTTGCTATGGTTTGTGTCTAAATGCTGCTGCCCAGCCTCAGTCATAGAGGCAGGCTTTTCGTAGGTGGTTGAATGATTGATTCATAGTTTGTGGCTGATTCATGTTCCAATGCTGGAATTAAGGATGGGAGATTGTTGGATCAGTCCACTGATTGGGTGGGCACTGCCCTGATCCTGGTAGACTGGATATAATTTAAGAGACAGAAAGAAGCTTGTCTTGCTCTTCTTCCTTTCTCTTACTGCTTTTTCTGTGTTCTGCTCCATGAACTGCTGCCACTCTGTGTGTGCCACTCTGCCTTGGATCCAGTCAATTGTGGATTAAAACCTCTACACACTCTGAACTAAATAAATAAACCTTTTCCTCTGGAGCTTTAGATGTGAGTATTTTGTCCCAGCAATGAGAAAAGCAACTAAGACAGACTTTAATACCAGAGAAGTGAGTTTGTTGCTGTGACTATACCTGACCATATGGCTCAGGAGATTTTGGGAATGGCTTGTGGGAAGAGTTTGGAAAGGTTTATAGATACCAGCTGAAAAAGTAGAGCTGGAATGCTTTATGCTCTTCTTATGATTCTGGTCAGCTCTCAGAAGACCAGAAGGCTGATAGAAGTCCTACTGGTGAGAACCAGGCTTGCGAAGTTTCTGCTGAGAAGGGGGACTGCATTGGCTCTTGAACTCCAGGTGATGTGTGTTACGGATTAGCAGAAAGTTTGACTGCATTTTGCTTGTGTCCAGAGATTTTGTCTGATTAAGGGCAGTGGACTAATTAATCTGGCAGAAGAAATTTCAAGGTGGTCAAATACTGAGGTGGTGGCATGGTTACTGTTAGGGGCTTTTTAGCCAGATTTATGTTGAGAATCAAGAACAGAGATCGCAGTAGAATGATTTAAAATGAGTTTGGCCAGAAAGGAATCTCCAATGAAGCTACTGACTGCAAAGATAGAGCAGAGGAG